CTCAAGCCATAGTCCAAAATCGCTTGAAACAATCACCAACAACTCCCAAAGCCCGTCAACGCAAGCGGCACGCCTCAAAGCTAGGAGTCTTACGATGCAATCGACGCCTTGTTCTACTTAGAGATGCGCTGGGCTGCACGCCAGGCTGTGTCGGAAGCGGGGTGATCTTGGAATCAAGGTTGCAGAGGGTGGGGTTTCTAGACAGCTTGTTTGCCGGGGCTTGGGCAGCACAGCAGCGCCTGATGTTACAGTGTATATAACTTGACGAGGAGCTCAACTCCAGGTTTAGGGCTTGGGTTACCCAGAGCCCCGATGCCCGGCAGCGCGACAGATGACCATCCCACGCGGGACGTGGCTGAGGGCCTGGAAGATGAATCAGGTCGGGAAGGGTTGCTCTTACTCTTTACTTTACGGGTTTGGGAAGTGGCAACAATCGGGACTCGTAGTCCGAAGCCAGCCGAAGGATTAGTCTAAGTCCTCTGGCCACTTCATTTATGACGTTTTCCCACTTTGCAGCTTTTCTGCGTGCGGGTGTGAAGGTTCCTTGACGGAGGTATGTGCAGGGTTGTAATATGATGTTGTATGAGAGCAGACGGAAACTCGGAGATGCTGTGAGTAGATGGAGGAACTCGAAAAGCCCTATAATTAACTGTAAGAATCTTCGGAGTCCTTGATTACATTGTCATTTGACATCATGTTGCGCCATGCCACAGCCGTTTCCCAAAAGATGCACAAACTGTACGAGCAGGCGAGCTGAGTTAGGGGACGGATATGCTGATTATCCGATGTCACACCTCCGACGTCCTTCTGATTTCCATGAGGGTACAGGACACAGTATGGAAACGCAATCTGATCCAGGGCTTCACACCCGGCCATCATTTTCTTGCAGGAGCTGCCAGCGCCCAAGGCTGCTACGCAGTTAAACAGACTGGCAGACCAGTGTGTTGCAGTGGGAGGTCACAAGGTATCGAGCTTCGCTTCACATTGTGTTCGAGACTCCTAGATCAGCTGCTTCCAGTATCTTGTTCGCTTCTCTCAGGCACGTCCGCGCACAGCTGATGGACAGGCTCGTTCAGAGTGGTATAGGGGGACGTCAGAAGTGTCAGCTAAGCTGGTAGTGCAGCAGCCACGGCCACGGCACCGACGTGAGAGGTAGCAAAGAAATTCAGCAGGTCATGCATTTTGTAGATGTTTAAGTTTGAAAATTTGAAAGCAGGGTGCATCACTCTGTGCGTGCGCAGATTATTGGCTGGTGTCTGGATGCTGACCAAGTGCATCTCTTGGATGCTTTGTGCCCGGCAGGCCTCCAAGACTTCAGTGCCACCTGGTGCGCGACCTCAACTGACGCTGAAGAAGGCATGTAGATTGCTAGAGAGGTGTCGTTAGTGGAAGGCCCGCTTCTTTCCGTTGAAACTGTTAAAAGGACGGGTCGCCTTGTGATACTGCTATCCCAGTTCTATTAGCTTGGGTTCTCCTGGTGCTACGGGACGACTCCGCAACTACCTGACAGTCGGAGTCCGGGCGTTGATAAATTTGGGGCTCGGGCGGTGTGAGGGTTACCCCAGGCCGCTGGAAGAAAGACATTAGGTTCTGCCGCAAGTCACCGGTGGACCTGCACGTTTGCACAGAGTCCCATCCTACCATGAGCTCTTTCGTCGATATGGTGCACGCGCGGGTCCGGATGCATCCAGAGCCGCGATAAGGCAGCTAAACAAAGATCCCTTGAAAGTGTGTGTATCGTGCCTATAGACAGCTTCAATGGACGACCCCCAGACTTTTGAGATTCTGAGACCTGCGAAGCTGTGTTCTCCATGCAGGCCCTGGCCGCCGTGCGTGAGGGCATCGACAAGGAAGCCCCCGACTTCCTGAAGGCCGCTTCCTGGCACATAGTAACAATAATTAGCATAGGGTTCCTTTACAGGGGCCTATAGGGGCTACTATAAGGGATCTATGAGGGTACTATAGACTGAAGCCTTAGATGACAAGAGAACGTTCAGACAGGCTGAGGTGTCGTCATGAGGCCTTCAACAAACTTCAGTCTTGAATTTGCCACACTGTGTTTGGAACCGGCCTGGACGAATTCTGACTTGCTCCAGCAAGAGAGGCTCGGGCTGGATGACATGCTGACACGCAATGACACGCAGCTTCAAATCAATGTCAGTGTGACATTGATATGCAGCAGGAAACTGCTGTAATTGCGCTGGACACGGGTAGCCTTTACAATCTATAGACATTGGGATCCTTTCAAGATGTTTCAGTGCGACCAAGCCGGAGGCCACCATCTGTGCCCGAGTGAAGCAGGAGTCAGGCAGCGTATCTCACGGGCTTTACAGACGGCTGGGATGTGTAGCTTTCAACAGTTTTCGACAGTTCTCAAGTGTAGTCAAAGACATCGGCAGCACGTCGCGGCGGATTTTGCTTGTGGCAACACGAGCAGCACCTGGTGCGAACAGGCATGCTTGACTAAATCTTCCATGGCATGCAGTCCCGGAAGGTGATGGTGCGGACCCAATAGACTGGGACCGGTTTCTCTTCCTCTGCACGCAGGAGTATCGCAAAGCCGAATCCTCAGTCCAAATCCGAGCGGGCATGGCTCTGGATTCGGGCAGATCAGACGGAACGCCTATCAAGCTGAAAAACCTAACTGCATAGCTACATGGTTCCAGCAAGTTGACAATCGCGCCTACAGTTTTGAAGCTCTGGTAACGCTTCACTCAGACCTCGCGGTGTGACATCTCTTGCTTTTTGTATTGTCATATTGTCGCCTGCTGGTGCCTGTCACAGCACGAGAACATCCCGGACAAATTACTGGAGTCCAGCGAGCAGCTATTTGATGCTAAGCCGACAACCCAAAGAGTGCATAGGCTCGATGCATCGCGTCACAGCGGAAGGAGCGCAGGGGCAACCAGGCCTGAAGCTGTGCACAGCATGACAGATGAAGAGGTGTCATCACATGAAGGAGTATGCACGTCAGGTTCTGCTGCGTGGCTGTCTTTGCATGTGTGCACTGGTCTATACTCATCTACTCGAGGATGCTCTTCTGACGCATAGTTCGATGTGCCTATCTGTGTCTCAGTAGACTTGCGTTGTGCATTCTGCGCTTCTTCGCCCACAGCTGCATGCGAACATCCGTGAGCCTGAACTTCGCCCTGGCATGCCCCACCCGTGATATCTGCAACGCACCATGGTAGCAGGAAGCATACAAAACTTCCGCAGCCGAGATTCATGAGGCTCGAACCTGTCAGGGGATCTTGACGGCCTTCTCCCAGCTGGTCTCGAACACCTGGGGCGTCAGCGGCGCGCTAAAATCGGAAGCGTTTTGTGGAGATAGTGGAATGAGGTCAGTGCAACAATCGAAATTTGCATGTTCAGTATAGTTCGATGATTTTTTTCGAGCCTAAACGCAACCCGAAGCCTGAAGCTGAGCGGCCTAGCTTTGATGTAATCGATTCGAAAAGTTGAGTTCTGCTATGCAGCCCAAGCTCTGAAAGGTCTCCAGGAAGCCTTCGCCCACTTTGATGTGGAGGGCAGGCTCGGCTTGGGCCGCTGCAGTAACGTCTTTTGTTTCTGTTTAGAAGATCTTCATAACACGAATACCATGGCATGAAACAGAAACCAGAGATATGGTGTAGTTCTGTTTGTCGCATTGGTGAGACTCGAGAATGATGAGAAGGACGGTTGCCTTTGAGCCCTCGTCATAGCGAGCAAAAGCAGCAGCACCGGCAGGGCACATAATGTGCTGCTAGACACCTTTTAAACCTGCTTCGTGTTGAACGCATGTTGGCTGAGGCTCGTCGCACACTGGCCTTGCCATCGTTCATGTTCAGTCATAGGACTGCTGATGCCAGACATCTCGACACACGACAGTTTTCTTCAAGCTTTGCTTGGCCAGTGGGGTGATCTCGTTCGACAACTTCGCGCAAGTTGTGGCCAATGACCTTGTGCCCTGCTTGGCCTGATGATTCAAAGAGAGCAAAATGTGTTGGGACAAGGCCGCCCCAAACATTACCGTCTTTAGGTGCGACGTCTGTATCTGAGAAAACGGCACCCAGGCCGAAATGCTCACAATCCTATAGTTCTTAGCAGCAGCAGCAGCAGCAGCAAACACGGGTACTGGTAGTAATGGCAGCAATACTTCTGGTCCGATTCTAGTCAAAGTACCGCTGTTCTGCAATACTCTTGTGGGCTTTTCCGACCTTTCTGCACCATTGTCTTCCCGTCATGAACCAATGCTATCTCGCTGTCCTGAGCTCCAGGCCCTAGTCCAAGCCCAAGATCTAAAACCCTCATCAACCACAGCGACGACACCGACCACCACCCCTACCACCACAACCACTACCACCACCAGCAGCACAAGCGCTAATCACAATAAAGACAAAGTAGCACCAACAGCAACAAAGCAAAGCACGATCAACACCGTCGTCAGCATCACCATGAGAAACATCATCAGTGTCCTCAGCAGCAACAACGATACATGCGGTCAGTATCATCACCCTAATTAAGCCTCAGCAGCAACCTCGTCATCATCACGGGCAGCAGCGCCGCCATTCTCACAATATCAGCATTATCATATTCTGCTCATTGACTTTGTCGTCTTGAGCATCAGCATCATCAGCACCATCATCACATCTTCATCACTGATTGTCACACTGAATAGCGACAACGTCATTCACAGCCTCAGGATTTCATTAGTCACGGCCTGACATGACCAGGGTTGAGCCCAGAGTTGCACTCTTGCACCCACTTGGTTCGAACAACCTAAATTGGGCAAGGCCCTGCAAGGTTGCAGCTTGACGGCTTTGTAGAGCTGAACAAGACCTGTGGTGCCTGGGTAAAGTAGCATACAGTCCATGAACTGTACTGCGAGGCCCAATCTGTGCAACGACACGTATGTCCGTAGCATACCCTCGCGGACCGTTTCTACATAGTTGGCATGGGGTCTCCCGAAGTTCGATCCGAGGCATACGAGGGTGCGGCCAAGGACCTTTGGGACGTCCTCGATGTACAAAGCAAGGGCTACCTGGAGGAGGAGGCAGGGCTGTCGACGAGTGCTGAGGGTGGTGGAGGTGGGGAAGAGGTGGGTGGGGGTTTCACATAGACGTTGGATGTACATCATCCGTGTCAGTAGGCAGCAGGCAGTGACTGAAGCAGTAGCAGCAGTAGCAGCAGCAGCAGCAGCAGTAGCAGCAGCAGCAGCAGCACCACCACCACCACCACCACCACCACCACCACCACCACCACCACCACCACCACCACCACCACCACCACCACCACCACCACCACCACCACCACCACCACCACCACCACCACCACCACCACCACCACCACCACCACAGCGACAGGAACAGCAACAACAGCAAGGATAACAGTGTCACCAAAAGCAACTACTGTTGTAACCGGCTCTCGCATGGAGAGGCTCCGATTTCTGATTTAAAACAGCCAATAACAGCCATAAAATAGGCATATATAGGAGACGCAAACAAAGTGTAGCCGCCGGGTTTCAGGGTTTGGGTTTAGGGTAGCAGCGAATCAACTTGCCACCGCAAGGAGCTTTTGCCGCACCATCCTTTTCGTCCCCTTGTCCGTCAGCGACAGGTCTAGGTCTAGCTTTGTGAAGTCGCACACAGGCGTCCGTCCTAGGTATGCCTGGGCTTCGGGTGGCTGAAGTTAAAAGAAGGGCTCAGTCGCCGACTTGCACCTCACACGTTTAAGCTGTTGACACTACTGATCACTACCGTTGTCGGGCCCGGGCGGGGCCAGGCCGGGGCGGGTGGGCGCACGGGCGGGCAGCAGCGATGGTGCACGTGCGGGCGGGCGCGCCCGGGACCGCGGTCGGGCGCACGGGGCGGGCCCGGACACCTCTTCACAGTCACGTTTCTCCCACTTTTTTGTTGTATCATTGTTTCACCTGTTCGGTTCATCTTTGTTTACCTTTGTTGCACACTGTCTCACTTTGTTTCAGCTTTTTCCCAAGGAGTCGAGAGAAACTCGCCGGCGCGCTTGACCGCCTAGCCCCAGAGCAAAAGGTGAAAGACAAGGTCGAAAAAAGGTGAGAACAAAGGTGTCTGTGAAGGAGTTGCCGAACAGCGCGAAAAGCCCCAATCCATCCGAGCAAGCAAATAGGCAACCCAAACTGTGCCTCCAAAGGCCCCCAAATCCAGCCAGAGTAATGTCACAGAGGACCAGCGACAACTAAGTTAGGCTCAGATTATGCTTACATTTGATATTGATATGGTCAATCCTTCGGCTACACTCTGTTGCTTGGTGCATATGATGAAGACGATGCAGTAAGTCCTGAAGGCACTGAGCAGGGAAGTATGGAATCAGCAATGTCATGAGCACCGCAAGTACAGCAACCACACTGATCTCTGGTGTCACTGCCCTAGAGCAGCACTGACAGAAACTAGCAAACAAACGCATTGCTTCAGACTTCGATGAAAGCAGTACCTGACCTGAGCACGGCAGGAGTGGTCCCAGCTCGGCATATCGGAGCAGGCCTTCTTCTGCCATGCGGTGCTTCGCTGCAGTGCCTCTCATCATGTCGCGAGCTGCCAGGCCGAAGGAAGCGCTCCCACCGAGGCCTCGAAAGGGGTTGCTGTAGTCTCGGCATCATAGACGTTTGGACTTGAGAAGTTTCAGGGCCAACCTTAATTCAGGGACGGGTCCAGATGCTTCGCACTCCATGCAGAATCCTGATTGCCATGCCTTCCGAGCAAACACGAACTTAAATGCTGACACCCGCAAGCACAACAGCATGCAAGTAAGAACATTAAGATGCGAATCGCTTGTGTTTTTTGGGATGTCGCTTGGAGTCGGTTGGAGGCTGGCACCAGACTACACCGCAGAACCATGCCCTGGACCGTAAATGCAGCCAAAACATGCTCACAGCTCTCTCAGGACCGGTCGCTGCCCTCTGGCTGGGATGCGGACCTTGCGCCAGAAGAGAGCCAAGCAGTTCTCCAGGAAGCTCGAGAGGTGCGAACAGCCTCTGTGTCTGTGAAGGATTAGGATTTTGGGTCCATGACCACCGGCTGCGCAAGATGGCTTTCTCCAGAACTCTGCGGATCTACGAGGAGGGTCGGGGGCATGTATCAAGAACTGTTCTTAAGCAGAGCAAAGCGTGACAAGTTCCGTGACCCCCAACCCTCCCAGTAGATACTGCGAAGCCAACACCAACACACCTCTCGAAACCGTCACAGGTGGCTGCACGACTCACCAACTCCCTCTCCGAGCGTGGCGCTGGGGAGGCCGACCCGGATGAGGCGCAGCGGGATGTAGAGCCATTGTACTTCCGCACAACATATCAAATTAGTCCGCGCAGGTTTTCGGCTGGGCTCTCCGTGTGGTTCTGAAGCGTCACGGCCAACCGCTGTCGGATTCTCGGTTTCAGCTACCCGAAATCTGAGCTCAAGAGAAGTCATCGAAAGTGAGGCTCTGCCTTTCTGCACAATCGTCTCAAGACTGCGCTGTGGATCAAGCTGTTCTTAGAATGACTGTTTGCCACCCTTTCATTCTCCCCCCCCCCATTGCAGTGTGTTGGAGTGACTCTCAGTCTTGGCCTCGCCGGATCGAGATCTGAGGCCCGAAGCGAAGCGGTCTCCTTCCACACCAGGCACCGCGGGGTATCCCGCAAGAGAGCTATCAGAAACTGGTGCGCAGCCACGTTCCCCGTCCCGTTGCTGCACGGGCTGTTCCAATGGCTTCCGATGGTCAGGCTTGGGCAAGCGCAGTGAGAAACCGCGAGATGCGACTTGGACCTCAGAGCCTCAGTCAGGTCAGAGGGAACACTAAAGTATACTAAAGTCTTTTGCAGGGGACTCAAGTCAAGACAGCGTCGTGTAGCAATATGAAGTCCTCTACAGGAGCGAGAGAGGGACGGATAAATAAATTCCAGATTGTACGAACTATGTGCACTCGGGACAGTGGTCGTTGACTGCTTTAAGGCGGCTTCGGCGTATGCGAGCCTGGATGATCTTGGCCAGGCATGGTCTGGGCCTTGTCCTCAGCAAAGGGTCAGCTTTAGGTGAGCTGCATCCGTTGCTTTGTGTTAGGCGCCGAATCTTAACATAATTTGATGCGAGAAGGCCACGTGCGCCAGGTACGCGCGCTCCGGGGAAGCGCAAGGTCTGAAGCTAGGAACACCCTGGAGTTTAATCTTACACGAATGCATTTTTGCGTGTTTGTCCCCACACTCCACACACAAGGTCCGTGCAAGTGCGGACCAAGGGCCAAAACTAGAACAAAGGAATATCGGACAACGCCCAGGTGGCACGTGATAGGACTTCTATGCTCGGGCGACACTCATGCTTTTTTCAGGTGCGGGCTATAGGAGCTGCATGCGAAGCAAGATGTTGCCCTGGAAGGTTCCATGAAGGCCGCGATCAACAGGCGGTTGAAGGACTCGGGTGTTCAATCTTCGGATGCACGCTTCTTGGTGTCCACGTCTCATTTGTGCAATGCCCGGTTGCCCAGGAGAGGACGAGCAGAGGGACCTGGAGGTGGAAACCTTTCAGAACCGTAGAGATCTCTGATTGCTGAAGCCGTGTGGCCTTTTGGCTGAGTCTGGGCTTGTTGCCTCGCATCCGCCCTATGTGTGGGAATGAGGGAGAGGGAAGTGGGGGACAGTGGGCATGCGCTGGACCCGCGCTCTTCGGTTGCTGAAAGGCCATCGTGCGGAAGCAGCTGTCTCAAGCGACCGAGGAGCTTGTTCGGGAGGTTGGCCGTTTGTTAACCCTTGGCATGCCTCAAAGACTAACACTCACCCGAGGTAGAGAGCCTGCAGTGTGTCGTCCTGTGTGTGGGTCCATGCGGTTGCATAAGTTGCCCTGTGACTGTCGAGCCTGACATCCGGGCCACCGCTTGATTCTCTCTCTCGCTCTCTCTCTGTCTGTCTGTCTCTATGTATATATGATTATATATGTATATTGTATATGCATATTATATCTGGTCTTCATGAGTCCTGCTCTCTTCCAGTGTGTCGCACCTCAAGACGTCCGCTGTCGGCTCCGTATCTTGAGTAAGTTCGAGCAACCTTTCCGTGGGCAGGCGCTTGCAGAGGCCACGGGCGGTGGCCAGGATTCCGAGCTGACGAGTTTGGCGGAGGCAGGGCCGCGACAGACGAAAGAAAGGATACCACGGCGGCGGATATGCTGTTTTGGATGTCGAAGCTTGCAGCGGTTGCTGTGACCACAGTCAGAGTCATCCTTGAAGTCGAGCAACCCCAAGAGTTTGACGTTCCTGTTGCCGACGACCAGGTGCTCCTGAACGATTTCTTGCTCGTCACTGATGCGCTGATGGAAGCCTTGGCACTCCGGCAAAGTTAACGCACAGTCTGTGGCAACAAAATGTAGTGGAAGATCCGACAACTTCCACTGCACCATCTTGGCGGTTGTCGCCTGTGCCAGAATTCACTTGCGGGCATGACTGGCGTGTTTTGGGCAGGTTTCCGGAAGCATCGAGAACTGGCTGACGACCCTCGGCACTCTCCTTAGAAAGGGCGTGGTTCCATTCATGAGGGCCTCGCTGTTTTGCGAGCAAAAGATCGATAGTATAGTGTATGCTTGCAGACTTGTGCAATTCTGAAGTCGCACGACTACCCAGTCGTGCGATTGAACTTTGTAGCTCTGTTGTGAACAGTTTGCTGCTGCTCTGAGGCATTGAGACCGCGGGAACGGAGAGCCAGAAGCAGCAATTCCAGGCTGCGGATGCCACTTTTGGACAGTTTTCTTCGTCACTGTTCATGACTAATAGACTCCTGTCCACAGGATGGGCATGAGGGGGTCAGTTGATTCTGGTGATGGGCATCATGGAAAACCTGTCAGAACAATTCAATGCTCAGAGTCACTTGCTGCCAAGCTCCTGGGCAAGGCAGTGGAGTAGCAAAAGCTGCCCTCGGCTTGCAGTTGGGTGTGTTTCCGATGCAAGCAAAAGTCCAGCAGAGCGGGGCAAAGAGTCCAAAAAACATGTTCTGCCAGGCTCTCACAGACGAGCTGCAGGGCGTGCTTGCTACACAGGGTGCCGAGGGCAATGAGGTGCGGCCTTTTGTCAATGTCCTTCATTCAGTTGACTTCATGTTGTTCCTGTCTTGGCAGCACTCTCCGTTTAAGTACGTTGTGGCTCGGCTCGCGTTCCAACTCTAGTGATGTCGTTCCGTGTATTTAGGTTTGGGTGTCTCCAAACGCCTGTGCTGTTAGGATTCTCAAGTTGATCTGGTGGGTTCACACTGGGTCACCTGGAGCACTTGCAAGTCAAGTACGTTTAGGGTGTGCATTCGCTCAAGTCCAGGTAGATGGCGAAAGGGAGAGCTCTTCCCAGAGACTTGATGTAAAATCCCAGGTCCTAGGCACCAAGCCGACCTACCCTTACGGAGTCCTGCTCAACGCCCGTGCCTGTGATGGATATCCAGGACTCCATCGCCCACGTCTGCCGCCTCACGGTTGCTGCGCCGGAGCTTCGGGAACTCTGCGCGGCACGGACGACCGAGTTGCTGCAGGCAGCGTTCCCACAGACACCACTGCTGCCTCCTTTTGACACGCCGCACAGTTTATGACTCTGCAGAGTATCACTACTGTCGCTAAACGCACGTGCCTGGCATTCAGCAGCCTTGAAACCTCTGACAAGCAAACAAGCTTGCGTCCGAGTGCCGGCAGTCTGAAACCTGAAACTTCTCTGACTCGGCCATTTCTTCCGAAGGATCAAGCTTCTCACAGACTGCTTTCCTCGAGCAGGCACGTTACGTGAGATTCAGACTTGGTTTCTTTCCCTCGCGGTGCACGCATGGAGGCGAGAAACGGAGTATTCCACGCTACCGCTGTGGCATGGTGCATAGTTTGCGCTCCGATCCAGTGACTTAGACACAGTTGAGGACGCGGCCTCGTCCTGTTCATTGTAAATTTCCGAAGTTACGTTATTGAATGCTGACCTGATGTTTGCCCCGGAAACCTCGAAAGCAATCAGACAAGACGGAAGCATTGTGGTCATGTCTCTAAATGCTGCCATCAAATCGCTCGTGGTGCTTCAATTCCTAGTAGGGACACACCGCGATGCTCCTTGGGGTCCTTCGGCGGCCATCGCATGGGGGAGCGATTTTGGGGTAGTGCTTCCATCCTGTCTTCTGGTGGTGGCGGTGGTGGTGTGGTGGTGGTGGTCCTGGCGGTCTTGGTGCTCGCGGTGGTCGTCGTCGCTCGTTGTGGTCGTCCTGTTGTGCCCTTCTCACTTCTCGTCTTGGTCGTGATGGCGATCATGGCGGTGGTCCTGGTTTCATCATCTTGCTTGTCTTGATCGTGGTGGTCGTCCTGGTATCTTCGTTCGGGGTGTACATAGGGCCATAAGGACGGGAAGAAAGAAGGGGGAGGACCTATCAGTGCCAAGACTGTGTCATCCGCGGGGTCGTGGTAGAGCCGTGGTCTAGGAAAGCAGAGTGACTAGGCAGAAATCGGGAGTCGGACGTGTTATCGTGTTGACAGCATGGTTCACCTTCTCGAGTACTGGATCTTCGTCACGGTACGGGACAGCAATCATAACCATGAAAGCCAGTGAAACCGAACATGCAAGCAGACGGCATTGCCAAGTTTGCCATCTGCACTTCACTAGATGCATCTATGTATGCACAAGTTACCTGAAGGCTCTCGATGCGGATGGGCTTGGTCAGATCAGCTAGGGTGTCGGAGTACGCATGTCAGAAATAGTGGCTTAATTGACTTATGTTGAAGTCGGGGAGCACGAGCCAAATTCTCTCTCACACTGCGTACTCATAATGCGTACTGATTCACATCCATACATGCTCTCTGCCATCAGATCTTGGACCTGTGTCGCAGGTCACTGGGCGATGCTCAGCCAGAAACGGAGCTGGAAACCGGCAGCCCGTTAGCACGAGCGCTGTACTTGATCTACATTGGCCGAATGTGCTTCATTTGCGGCCAGTAAATCTGCTGCAGGACAAGTTTGTCGCAATCCTGCGCTTCGACAGTTTACCTTAACCGTATGGGCAGGAAGGGTATACGCCTCTTCGACGCATTGCAGTTTGGCAATGCTCCTAGAATCTTTTCAAAGTCCCCCATGGTTTAAACAAGGTCTAGTCTAGTGCAAGTTGAAGTGCCCGAAAGAACTGCTACCAGTTCCGAGGAGTCGGCGTCTCGGACGACACCCCCGAGACCCCCAACTTTGCACAGGCGAGGATAATTTGAGGAATGAGCCCCCAAATTCAAGGGGAGAGCATCAAACTGAAGAGACCTGCTGCTTGGCGATAGCCGCCGTTGAGCCTTCGCAGGAGATGTCATCCTCTGATTGCGCAAGCACGCACTTGCGCATGGACAAACGGACATGTATATATGCTCACAGACAAACGAAACACGCAAATGTAGGGGTATGCATACATACCAATGCAGTCTTGAGTGTAGATACAAGTTTTGCGCATACACACGGGCGTAACTGATCTGTAGGGACCATTGCCCACGTTTGTTTGTTTGTTTATTCGTATGTACGTATGTATGCATGCATGTATGTGTGTGTAGGTATGCATCTGCGTGTATGTGTAGATGCATAGATGTATATATGCATGCACGCATGCATGCATGTATACACCAACATACGTACATACGTTGCATACTGCTTCGCTTACTTATTTGATTAAGTTTATGCGTTCATCTGCTTCGGATGCACATGCACATGGATATGTTTAAGTTCTCGTATCGGTATGGTGCTTCCCGGAGCCAAGGCCTTGAGCATCCCACCTGTACAGCAGCACCTCTGCATTGCAGGTTGAGGACACGGTCACAGCCGAAGAGAGCCCCAGCTGCAATCGCTAGCGACGCCCAAAATGTGCCCGGATTCAGTTCTGTTCATCCCATCCGGGTCGAACCTTGCAGCCCAGGCTCCCTGAAGCGCAGCTCGATGAAGAGGCCTGCCTCGATCAATTCCTTGACACATCCCAGGGAACTTTTCTAAGTTGGCGAAAGGTGGAGGGAGCGATCCCTGCAGCCGAAGAGCCTTTTGGCGAAGAGGAGCCATTGGCAGAGCTGGCTGACGAGGCAAGCAAGCAACATCCGGCATGGACAGAGGTCTGGTCGGGAGGGAGCGTGCATCCCATTTAGTCCTCAGAACTGGCATGTGTTAATTGCTTTGCCGGCATGTTGAACCCGAGTCTAGTGTCAGCCAGGATCCATGCGTTTCGAATTCATTCAGGACCGCGACCCCCAAAAGCCGGTCAAGCTCTGACTGGCCTGTGCCACCCTATTGGAAATCCCCCCACTTTAAATTCGAAACCAAGCTCCAGCCTGGAGGCGGCAGAGCGCGGGGCGGAGCGCACGGAGGGCAGCTTTGGGGCCGCGGAGGCCGCGGAGGCCGAGCCAGGATCCTTGGAAGATCTCGAGGACGCCTTCTGATGGGCCTTGTGGCCACACTTACGACGACCCTGTACAAATTTGCATAGTGGCATAGGGGGTTTGAGAGTTAAAGAACAAGTCGGAGCAAGGATACGCATCGCAACACAGCATAATAGATACAGTGTTAAATACAGCAGGCATGTAGCAGACTTAGGGCTGAAGGCCCGAGCACAATCCCTGAGGCATCGGAACGATCTGCCCCAAGGGAAGTTGAGTTAATGCACTGCCAGCTGGACGCCTCGGCGGAAGAAGTCATGGATCAGGAAGGTCACAAAATCGATGTAGACCCTTCGACAGCTTCCGACGAATACCTTCCTTCCCGGTCCACGATTTCGTCCTTGTCCTTCGCCTGACTGATGGCACCATCCAACACGTCGTACGGGTCGCTGCCGCGCTAAACCAAAAGGCATGCGCAGGCCAAACGTAACGTCCGTTGCCTCGCAGAGTTGTATGCGAGATGGCAGTACAAGATTGTGGATCCCTAAGAAACCAAACATCATCGCATGCCCTGCATTGTCAACATAAATTGTCGCAAGTTCGATCTGCAATTTCTTAGTGTTGCCAGTCTCTGCGCTGCCCACAGAAGAACGATGGTAGCCACAAGAAGCTGCAAATATCCTTACCGCACAGGCAAACCTACGCTGCCTGACTAGCGAAGTTCTGGTCCACAGCGCACAATACTTATTACTAGCAGCGTGCATGCCATCAGTCGGCCTGTCATTATGGCTGCAGTCCGGGTAGACCTGGCTAAAATTGCCAGCTTGCTGAGGCAAGCGCGTGCAGAAAAAGCTCAGCACAGAAGTCCTGACCCCTTCCAAGAGCAAGTTGTACTGGGCTTTGGAGTACCATACTTGAATACTTCTTTTCTGAAAGGAACCATTATGAAATAGAAGTTTATACTTTTTCTCCCTGTTTACCTAGAGGCCCAGTGTAGGATATGATGCGCATCTTCTCGAGCGGCCATGGCTCCCCTGCCATCAACCGCCGTCCGACTAGACAGACCTCGATATTTTTGCAAAAGACTCTAGACCTCGCTAGACCTCTCTAGACTTGTCGCGATGATGAAGAGGCCCAGCGCGCAGGTAGCTGTAATGAACACTGCTCGAGGTGGCACTGATTGTCGCAGTGAGGAAGAAAGCTCCGCCCCCGCGAAGGTACCAGCTTCGTCTATCACGCAAGAGCTGTTGCTTGCACTTTTTGTGGACGCCGGTACTTCCCGGCATCCATACGGCTCCATGAGGATATTGGGAAAGGTTGCCAAGAACCGGTTGTAGAAGCTGAATCAGGGTTCATGAACAGATCTAGTTTAGAGCTCATGATTGACTTCCTGCGATACCTCTGGTCAGAATGTTTAGAACGTGGTATGTCGTGGGCCAGAAAGATACTAGATACCGTGCTTTGCCTGCCGTTTGCTTGCAGGGTTGAAGCACGAATGCTGGTCCGCATGAGCTTGCTCGTTTCTAGTTCCTTCTTGGTGCTGTTCTGTTGCGCTGCATTGCGAGGAGCGCTGCACTGCGCGCTGGAGCCAGAGCAGGTCCACATGCACAAGTTTAGCTGACAGGCTTGCTCTGCACTTGTGTGCAGTGTTTCAGTAGGCTTGACCCATCCCTCCCTCCCTGCTCCCTCCTTCCCTCCCGTCCTCCCTCCATCCATCCATCCATCCATCCATCCATCCATGCCTGAATGCATGCACCTACACATGTCATGTATATGTGTACGTATACATGACATTCATTAATACATAGATGCACTCATAAATCCTTTCGCTCTGTGTTTACAAATGCGCGAGGTGGGGCTATAGGGTCACCACTCTCAGAAGACGGAACGGTGCGGAGGATGATGATGGTCACCATGGTGCTGATGTTCTTTAAATTGTGGTGATGATGATGATGATGATGACCGTAGTGCTTGCGAACCAGGCGCAGTTGTTCTTAAGCTCAGAATGGATGGCTGAGTTTCACTATTGAATCACTATTGAGGCGGATGTAGATTTCCAGCTTGCATGCTTTAGTTCAGATGCATTGAAAATAACTCATGCTACTTAGCATGCTAGCATGGACAGTCGTTGTGTTTTACCCGTATGTATGTATGTATGTATGTATACTCATGTATATGTATGTATGTATGTATGTATGTATGTATGTACGTATGTATGTATGTATGTATGTATGTATGTATGTATATGTGTGTGTGTGTATGTATTGTGTGTGTCTGTATGGACTTCGAAGCATGGGTGCAATAAGTCTGGGGCAAGTTTCGCAGGTTGCCGCAAGATTTGCCGGAGAGCAGCACGCGATTTGGGGAGAGTCCCGGACTTCGGTCCGTCAGTGCTCGGACTGAGAAGCGGGGGCACCCAGATTGACCTGCAGCGGCGACTGAGCTCCAACATCTGGAGCTATTGCGGAGTCTGATGTCTGTCCGTTGAATGTAGCTCTGACCCCCGAGGACCGAAACCTCCAATGCTCGTCCAGCTCGACTTGTTTGCGATTTCGGCGACTCGGTGTCTTCATGCAGCAGCGACGAAGTAGACCAGGTCGGGGCTGAGAAGCAGCCGGACAAGCTTGGGGAGACTGGCGGCGTGGGATCTCTGACTCCTTCAGACGAGGCTACAGCCACACCCCCTCCACTAGGGGGCCACAGTAGCTGCTCTGAAACTCTGGCATCGGAGGACCACTCAGCACAACAAATTCCTTGGCCCCAGAAGTTGATTGGAAAGGCGACCGAGCGGGCACCGGAGGCCGCCATGGTTAGCGCAGTGCCACATGTGCCACAGCCACGATGGCGAAGCACGTCGCAGCCTTGCCGAGATCTGAGACGGCCAGGGGCGCTAGGACCAGGACGTCACGAGCCCAAGCGTGCGACTGCAAGGCCAGCTGATCCTCGGTCGGAGCTCTGGGAACCATTGCGCAAGGTGATGTCCATCAAGGATGCTGCCACACAGACGTCCAGAAGGAAGCCGCGCGCTGCCACGTCGCAGACGCAGTCGCAGAGCCAGCGGCAAGCTGTGGGCGCTGCAAAGCCGGTCCGGAAACCGGATATAGGTTCAGGTCTATCCAGAAGTGCTCGGTGCAAGACCCCTCGCAGCAGCCGGGGCCGGGCGAGCAGTGTCGCGAAACAAGGTCCAAAGCCAAGGCCCTCGACACGGGTGATGAAGAATCGATCCTACTCAGCCCCCACGGTCTCCACGAGCCAGAGATCCGTGGTGGCCGCTCAAAATCCAAAGAGGCGTTCCCACTCAGCAGGCCCTTGCCATCACCGCCGGTGTGTTGCCTGTTTGATGGCGCAGATCCGCTCCATGTCCTGGCCTCCTGGCTTCTGTGCACGGAAGCCAAGGCTTCAGAAAGCTTCCAAGAGCCGCAGTTGCAGCCAGTCGAAGACGCAGAAGCCGAAGCTGTACAGCCCGGCGGAGATCCGGGCTCAAAAGGTCTTGGAGCAGTCTCAGAGCCCTCAAGAATCTCCTGGGAACTTTCAGGAGGCCAAGCCCCAACCGCAAAGCCAAGTGTCACGCCTCGATGGAGCCGTTCAAACCGACAGCTCTCTTTTCCAAGCACTGCATGCTGCCGAAAATTCAGAATTCGCTGGGAATGTACAGCAGATGCCAGAGGTTGAATGTGTTGCATGTGACGAAGGTCTGGATCGAAGACTGCCCTGTATCCCACCGTCGTGGATGTGCATCCAGGAAGTCACATGCATGAGGAAATTCGTCGGCGGAATCCTCCGACATCCGACAGCTCCGACAGCTGAAAGCAACTCCAACCCTCGAGCGGCAGAGCTGGCAGCGCTGGCCCAGGCCCCGGGCCCCTTTTCTGTACGTACTGGTCTGCGAAGATTCTGGAACCGCCAGGTTCCTCGACCGGTCGTGGAAGTGAAGGTGCGCAAGAAAGAGCCGCGGAAAAGCCGAAAGAGTCCGGGACCGAGCTTTGAACCGCGACAGTCACAGCAACGAGGAACAGAGCCGTCCCTTTCCAGGTCTGGCTGGGCAGAGGCTACGAGCCTAAGCCTCCACAGCCGCGTGTCTGCGGACTTGGAGCTCTTGATTCCGGCAGAGTTGCCGGAATGTCCACACGATGTGACAGGACGGTGTCAACAGAAGCTGTTTCGGAGTCTTGACAAGATCTAGGTGTGAAGATGCCAGCGTATGCCAGCGTGGTCGAGTGCAGTTATTAATAATTATAGTAATTGTACTGCTAGTATAAATGCAACAACGGATGAACTTGCTCTGGCAGCAACCGACATTGACACGCCCTCCTCGGGGATGCGAAGCATCTGCGCCCAGCGGTTTACAAGGACCCTAATTCATTGGGCCGAGGGCCCAAGGGGGAGGATGGGCCGGCTTTCCTCAGCTAGCAGCTTAAAAGAAGTTCATGCGAGGTTCGAAGTTCGAAGTCGAGATACGCCTAGACGTGCTCCTGAAACGCAGAAAAAACACCGGGTCCATGTGTGCGATCGCTTGGGCGCTTCTCCAGTGCCATTTCCCAGCAAGACTCTGCCGGGCTGGCCTTCTGCTTTGCAGAGCATGGTGCGGCCGGCCTGCCTTTGACAATGCGGAGGGATGAATCCACATAGTTCTGCAAAGGGTCCTCGATATGTCGACTATAGGTCATAGTCTGCTCGTGTTCGCACTTGTCGCTGGTGGTTTGTTATCTTGTGTTATGTTCTGGAAATCCACTGATTCACTCCGAACTTCCTGCGCCAGGCGCAAGTGGCCCGAGATGCAGACTCCTTCTATGTACAGGATTGTCGACAGGTGCACGAGTGGGTGCATCCTCACATGTAGCACAAGATGAGAGAAGAAGGAGACAGAGAGATAGGCGTAGGGCGTGAGCGCATTGGCACGGGGGCATACCACATCCCCAAACGCCCGGCAAGCAAGCAAGCAAGCGAGAGCCTACACGCCATGCAGGGAAGCAAGCAAGAGAGAGAGACACAGAGAGAGAGAGGGAGGGGACTGCCCACGATCCACACCCCGGAGCAAAGCAAAGAGAGAGAGAGAGAGAGAGAGAGATTTTTCATGCCCCACCGAAAGCCCCGTAACAGACGGGGGGCCCAGGAGGCCGGAGGGCCTAGCCAGCCCCTCAAGCCCTGCAGAAGAAGAAGAGAGAGAGAGAGAGAGAGAGAGAGAGAGAGAGAGAGAGAGAGAGCGAGCGAGCGAGCGAGCGAGCGAGCGAGAACGATAAAGAGAGAGGGGGAGAGAGAATCAAGTTAAGGATCGCAAGCAAGGGCCCAGAAACGGTCTCGATCTGCGAAGGCCCAAGAGATAGCTTCGGACAGGGCTCAGGCAGATGGACAGCTGCAATCCGGTGATTAACTAGTAGCTAGTGAAGACTTGTGGCTAAATGGTGCCCAAGCCCTTCACGGTCAGGCTTGCAGCTTCAGTCCTGTCAAAAGAGCCTGGTGGAATTCCGTCTGGAAAGCCTTGTGTAAAGGGCGGATCTCAGAACCGCTTTTAAAGAGAGGCGATTTAAGACACACAGAATGTTTTTCGCAGTGCCGCTCAGCCCACCATGATGTGCGACGCGGGACGCGCCTTCAGCGCCGGCCTAAACTTAAAGCCAATCTGTCAAGCCACCTTGAAGAGTTTCCCGCTGATGGAGGTGCAGAACAACACTCATTCGATCCAGACACTGAGCCCTGCCTTCAAAAGTTGCAATTCGTCAACAGCTCTGCACAGTTTACTTTTCGCAGCAAGTTTGCAGCAGCTTGAATTAAATTTCGTCTGGGGCGTGAGGCCAAAAATGCTGGCTATAGAATCGAGGCCTCACATCCATGGAGCCCCTTTCTACTACAGCACTCTCCTGAGGACTGGGCAGATTTCTCGGCTAGTGGGGACCATGGAAGCGACTTGTCTGGACGATGTAGAACAGCATCGGCCAGATGTCTGTCATGGCTTAAGTCGGTGTAAGTCTGTACCCGTGGCCGCACATACATGTACTGTGTAATTTCAGACACAGGCAGGAGGACCTGCATACATACATTCGTATGTATGTTGTACAATCAGATAGATAGTGGCATTGCATCGTAGCAGACATGCACGCAGCTGCGGTTGTACTCCTTGCAGGCTGCCACAACATCCTTTGTCATTGCGTGCTTGTAAATTGTAAACACTCTGGTGTTGTATTCTACTAAGCAATGGTGACATCCTAATTAACAGCATGTCTTGCAATGTGGTAATTCGCTGAATAATTCGAGCTCGTTTTTATTCGGGAAGGATCTGACCCAAATCCGCATTCTGGTGTCCTCACCAGCATTGTGTTTCGAGCATCCCCATGATCAGAACAGGATTTGCCGTCTTTGGGTCCGCGACCAGTCTCTGTGCCTCCAGGCAGAAAAGGACTTCCAACACTGCCGAAAGATGGTGGATGATGCAGTGCGCCAGGCCGCGGGTCCGTAAGGGCGGCACTGTAGTCAGCAGTGGCACCTTGTGGAAAGCCAAAAGCTTAAGCAATCTTTGCTGTCCTCGAAATTTCGTTGAGTTTCTCCCAGGCTTCAGAGACCAAAGCGATCCTAGCCCGCATCCGGGAGCACCAGCACCAGGCGCAGAACACTGCCGAGCGCAACAACCGCCGGATGATGTGTCACGGCAACTGATAATTTAGTTCTTTCCGGGACCCAGACAGCTCTGCTACACAACGCAGTTTGAGACAAGGTACCAGAAGCTTTCGGACAACTTGGCCATCACCGCACGTGTGCTGGAGGAGCCTTGAAGCCCGGGGGACCGACAGCCTGTTAGAAACCATCTTAGTCTCCGGAGTGTGCAAAGCTGCACAGTGTGTGACGGTAGTCGGCCAATCGAGTTACACTGCGGAAGTTATTCAAGACGAGATTGCCACAACTTGCCCTAGCATGCCAAAGTCGGTGGGCACAGCTCTGTCAGGAAAGGCATCGACTGAATTTCGCTCTGAAAGAGCCCGGCCCGAAGCCGCGCGTTTTTGGAGGACGTGGTCCGGCGCTTCACCGCCGAGGAGCGCCGGCGTGTCGGTGGAAACAGCGGAGTCTTCGAGGCGCAGCGCTGTGCACTCTGAATCCATGGCGCACATTCCAAGAGCTGTTGAGCCCTTTGACCCGTATCTGCTCTTGCGCATATCTGTACATACTATAATATGCTGTCGACTCAAGACGTGTATACATATGTAGTAGTATATACATCGCCCAGACGCATGAAATGCGTGCTTTGAAGAAGGAGGATGCGTGTGTGAGGGAGAGGGAGTTCTGCTGCCAGCGTGCCGTGACTCCTTCTCGAAATCGAGGACAAGCATGCTTCACCAGCTGCACTTCATGCAAGAGGGGCTCCGTGACGACACCCATGCCTGTTAGCACTTGTTGGTGCGACCACTGTTTCTGCTAGGAAAGTGCCAGTGCCATGCCTCCCTGCAGTTGGTGAGCTCAGAACCCCAAGTCTTTTTCAGGTTGTTTAGGTAGGGAATCTTGCTACCGGAACGGGTCTCGACCCTCTCCCCTTCCAAAGCCAGTGCTCGCAGCAAACAGTGCAAGCTTGCGTGCCGGGAGGGGGTGTGCCTCGTTTTGGAAGAAGACAGAGGCAGCCTGAAGCCACATGGACTGACAGCCAACAGATGGGCGTGCCTCCACACCCGGGCTCACCCCTACCCCTTTTCAAAGACATTCCGTTTGTGCACACCCAGATCGTCAGATGAAGCAAAGGCTATGTCCTGTACAAACTTATGCGTGCAGAGGGGCGCGCACGAGCAGGCCCCCGGCATCGCCGCTGCAGATGTCGCCGGAGGGAACGACCAGAAGCCTCTTCTCTCCACCGGCGGAGATCAGATGGAGCGCCGAGCATGGTGTAGAAAGGCTTCAGGCTACATGGTAGGGAGTTCATCAAGCTGCACAAAGTTCAACAAACTGACATCGGAACTGTCTAAAAACTGTTGTAGCTGCTATCCAAAGCAAAGCCTGGAATGGCACGGAATCCAGCACCATAGGAGAACTCGACCGAATCAGCATGGAATGGCATGCTAGTACAAAGGAAGGACCCATTGTTGAGATACTTGTTCTTAAGCTGAGCTCACTTACATGTACGTGTGTTAGTTGCCGTGTCGTCTATGAATACAGGCCACCAGAAGCCACGACTGGACAATGAATGTTGAAGCATCAGTTTGCTGGTTTGTGCGCTGGCTTGTCGAGCCCTCCACTGAATGCGGGCTTCCGCTTGCAAAGGACACTGCCTTGCAGACGGACAAAGTTCAGACCCTGCGAAAAGTGGATGAGGACCGCCCTTGTTTTGCGCTGTCAGATTTGGACCTTGTATGCTCTGCAGGCGCAGGCTGCCTGTCATAGGAGTTTAACTGGAGGTGTATGCTCCCCACAGGCCAGATTTGCATTCCGGCTCGTCCAGGGAAGCGTACAGGGAGGCATTGTCATGGTCCACCACCAAATTCACGCTTTGCAGGATATGCTTTGCTTGCAACGCATCTACACGGATCTGGCATCCCTGCTTGCACTTGGCCGTCTGGAGCTCCCAAGCCCTTGACAAACAATGCCTCCGGATGCACCTGGCAGAGTGTAAGGCGACAGCCGCCGAAGAACAAGCCTCCAGCTTCGATACTCTGGAGAGTCACATGGTCAGGGCCTTACTGCTAGTAGGCAGAGGTGCGGTGAGCAGCACACACAAAGTCAAGCTTAAGACTCATGGTGAGCACCTCCGACGAACAGTCGCGACAAGATGTCATCCGTTTAAAGCCGCTTATGCAGCATCTTTCAAGCGTTGTTGATGCTTTTCCACATGGTACTCATGGCTCTCCTCAGGCCAGGGCCGATTGCATGGAACTCTCTGCCTTTCGCTCTCTCTCTCTCTCTCTCTCTCTCTCTCCCGCTCTTGCTTGTAGCCAACCACCCGTAAGCCCTCCAGTGTTGGCGCCTTGTCTCCGGGTTCCCCCTCGACAGGTCGGCAAGTTGAAGCCTGCCGCAAGAACCCCCAAAAGCGAGTCGAAAAGGAGAACTGCGCTCCCCTTGCAGCCGGCTTTTGCTTGGGCTTTTTTGGCCTCCAAAAACCAGTCTGGAGTTCGCTTTACCCTGCGACGGATTGCGCCTCACTTGGAGGCCCGAGCCTCCGCAGACATTGAGCGCGGAAGGGAGGAGATCGAGTACACAGAGAGTGACCTGGCATCGCAAGAAGTGGACCCCGTAGTGACAAGTGGGGATTTCCCAAGAGGTGTGTGTGTGTGTGTCATAGTTGAATGGTGCTGACGTCAAGGGACATACGAAAGTGACTAGTGTGTAGAATAGGTTCTTTGCGTACAGGGACCAAGGGCCAGAACCGCACAACATGAAAGTGCAGTCTTGTCTTGAGTGGATGAGGATACAATTTCAGCGCGCGGCTGAAGCGGAGGCTCCTGTGTATATGAACATGACAGTGTTGATGCAGTTGCTGGCGGAGCGAAGCTCTGTGGCCACCGGCTGAAAGCTTTCAACCCAGCTCCATTTGACCATGCGCAGGATTTGGATCGGCGCCGCGGGCGTCGGTTCATTGATCCTGGTGACATCATTGCTCAGCTCCTGAGTTCTTAGTGAGCTTCGTAGCCCAACCTGTCCAGAACAGACTTATGTGCATAGACTCTCTTGTGCCCTTTTGGGCGGCGTTCGTGCTGCCCAGGGCTGCTGTAGCTGTCTACGAGGATTTCACCCAGTTCTTGAGTGCAGGTGCCGGAAGTCGCCGGACATCCTTCAGCCAAGTTCGTCAAACTTTCAAGGACAACCTGTCTACAGGCTATGTGCGAGACTAATTATGTGTAGAAGCAGGCCTAGGAGGCAGTTCGCCAGCGACTTCCTCGGCAACTCAGTTTGGACCTGCCAAATCGACAAATCTGATTGGGGTTCTAGGTCCCTGGAGGCACAGGTGCAATACACACCCATCAGGTACCAAGTCCGCATGCTTGCCGCAGCATTGCAGTCAAGCCAAGCTTGAGTCAGAGAGCCAGTATCTCGCGGCTGGAAACAGCTTCTTCCGCAGCCTCAAACACACCTCTAGCAGCCCTTAGAGGCTCACCTAGCCACCTAGCCCTCCTTCTTCCTAAACCTTGGAATCTGTCCCTTTCATGCTGCTTAGATGCTAAATGTTCTTCCGGACTTCCTGAAGTATCCAAGGTCTAGCGAGCTAGCCGCTGTTTAGCACTTCACGGCTCAGCGTGCATTGTGCTTTCAGGGTACAGGAACAGCCTGCGGCCCATGAGCCAAGCACCAGGCCGTTTTAACCCGAGATCAACCTGATGTGTGCCTCAGATGGCATTGGAGTCAGTTCGATGCTGGTCCCATGCGGGTGGGGTGATGGGGGAGTATCGGTGTCACTTGTCCTGTATACGCCTGACCGCACTGGTCAGCCATGATGCCCACATTAGGCTAAATCACTGTACTGCTGGCGGTGGGAACCATAAGATGATAGAATCTCAAGATCGAAGCAAGCTGTCAAGCGAAAGGGGGGAGCTCCAGCTCGATCTGAGGTACCTCGACCCATGCGAAGAAGGCGCAGAATGTCTGGAACGGCTGGCTCGATGAACGTGATCTTGCTCCTGGCGAGGCCTGGGCTAGAATGGCGATGTCAAGACTCCGCCCCTGCACGTGAAACTCTCCGTTATCTGCCTGGCTTGCTCACTTTGCCGATGTTTGCTAAGGATGCTTGCCTTGTCCACCTCTGTCACAACAAAGTCAGACGTCGCATCGACGGCCGAAGAATCAGTTTTCACTTGGCAAGTTAAGGTGAAGCTGTTTGGAAGCTGTTTGTGCACTTTTCTTCGTTTCTTGGGGCAGGTCATTTCCAACTGGCTGAAGCGGCAGACACAGCGCGGCCTGACCCTGGCCACAGAGCTGCTGGACTGGAAGCTGGATTAGCCCCAAGGATGACGAAACCATGGCTTCATTACACACCCCCAAAGCAGGAAATGCCGGGATGCAGTTCGAGTGTTCCTGTCCGAGGTACGCAAAGGCCGGATACGAAAAGGCAGTGGAGCGAGCAGACGCGCCTCAACCTGTTGTCTCATTTTGTTTGAAGGGCTCTGTGTTGGTCTCGTGCACCCCGCCCACGGCCCCAGCCCATCTCCTCCCATCTCTCCAAGCCCTAGCGTAGAGAGGGGTGAATCTTATTTAGAGTCTTGTGATGTGGCCATGTGACCTCAGGTGGCTTTTGCCGGCCGCAGCCTGCTGGACAGTGGAACACCGGCGCAGGAGGCTAGACAGTGGAGGAAGCAGAGTGTCCTTGGCAGGGCCTAGTTCTGCAATGCGCTGTGACTGTTAACAAGTCTACTGTACCAACTCTCACAGCCCTATTGAGGTGCCGTGGCTTCAAACTCTAGGAAGCACATGTTTCACGATGCCCAACACCTCCACCCCTGCAATATTCTGAAAGATGCCTAGTTTTGCAGGTTGGCTAGCCTGCTGCTATGAAATGTGTGCGTTGTTTTATATTGAGGTCTGTGATGCGAAGAATGCTGTTTCAAGTCGTGCATGCACTACCGGCGCCTGGATGAAAAGCAGCCTTAGTGACTAAATGATTTCCCACCTCAACTAAGCTGACCACAGCAGCCGGCTGCTTGCTAGAATGCAAATGACGCACATTCGTGTCTAGAACGTCGAATCCAAAATTTGTATTCGGTCCCGTTCAGCCTAGGAGATCCAATGCTGCAGCTTTGCGTGCCGCTGCTACTGTTATTGCGCCGAGTTTTCATCGTAACCGATATAGCTTCTACTGCGACAAGCGCCTGCATAGCAGCCTTGGCATGCTGTGAGATCTTACGAGTGGACGGCGTGCCAGGCATGAGTCTCCTCCACCATTCCCCATGGGTTAACCATCCGGGCGTACACATGGGTAGACATGTGTATACACTGTGTGTTGAAGGGGGCACAGGAGTTGGGGGAGTGGCCATGGTGGGTCCGCCGAAGTCACTTGCTTGCCGAAAGTAGCTGGGCAATTGTTGGTTAATGTCAATCACTCACCAACTCTGAATCCACAGTTTTTTGAATCATTTTGTGCTGCAAATGATCAGGCCATTGCCCTGAAACAGCAATGCGACCGTGCGGTGGCTGCAGACACGGCACTGCAACAGACGCTTGCAGACCTGTCGGCGCAATTCCGGGAAGAGGCCCTCTGTTTTCGTGCCGTGCATAGTCACCCATCCCGCTCGTAACACGACAAGAAAGAGCAGAACATGGTATTTGTCAGGGGTTCATGCAGACCTTCGATGCTGGAGACATAGGGCTACAAGTCGAAGCTGCAGACTACTCAGCCCCTGAACTCCCTAAACATGGAGCGGACCAGCTCCAAAGTTGCTGCCGCTGCCACTGCGCACAGGCCAGATTCTCGAGAAGCCCGGAGAATGGACAGGTTGGGTCTAAGGATTTCCTGGCCACGACTCTGGAATTTCAGAACTTGCTTTGGTCACTTCTACGAGGGCCACGAGACGGATTGACTTTGAGGGGAAAGGTTGCTGGGTTGCTTGGGCTCAGCGATCGAAGAATGTACCAAGACAGGCCAACTCTTGCCATGTCAGCCTTTGCAAGACTTCTTGCCTCGCGCCTGCGGGTCTCAGTCGACACACTGCGGCACAGCTTAGGAACACGCCTCAAACACAGATTAAGTGCATCCAAGATTGATTAATTTATGTAAGTCATCTAAACCGGAGCTGCAGGCAGCTTCTAGATATAGAGACTTCGCCATCAGTTGTCGCCGGTGCAGTGGCCAGAGGCAATTGGTGCTTGGGCAGTGCGCTACGGCGAGGCTGCCCAGGCAAGGCTTGGAGATGTGACATGTGCTGACGTTACACCGGCCCTCGTAATCAAAATGGGCCGGACTTGAATCGATACTTCATGATACAGTCTGATGCAAAAGACATCGACCCATGTGCAGATGCTTGGGAAGCCTCCCGCGGAGCCGCAGCGATCTCCGGTGGAGCAAGATGCCATGACACTCCAGCAGCTGAGGCGCAGCACATCACAGCAGCCATTTCCATCCATGCTGGGATGAGCTATTCCTTGTTACAGTCTGATGTTGTCACCACCATCGCAGTGCTAACTGTAGTAGAGTAATCTCAAGAATGTAGCAGCAGCAAGCAACAGTCTCAGCAGCAGCGACAGCCACCTCAGCAGCAGCAAAAGGAGGAGGAGGAGGAGGAGGAGGAGGAGGAGGAGGAGGACTGGACACAGCAGCTAGAAGCTGGAGTAAGCGTAGGATTATGAGTAAGACTGCCAGTAGCAGTAGTTGCAGCAGGAGCCGTAGCTGCAGCAGCTGCAGCCAGCGTCAGTCGCAAAGACTAATGTTTTGTTTGTGATGGTTGCAGCAGTTCGTGGTGTCCGGAGATGATGCAACAACTTCGATCAGTGGAAATGCCTCCGGTTGACCTGGCAGGCAGGCAAAGACCGAAGTGGCGAACAAACTTTTGGGCGCTCCGGCGAAACTGTCGATGCCTCAGCTTCAGTGGGTCGCGTGGTGCACTGATTTGCCTCCACAAGCTGCTGCCTCCGATCCTGTCCAGCCTGTGCCTTGCGAAGCTTGGCCGAATTCGGAGAAGACCGTGGAGACTGGGGAAACTCCAAGCTGGCCATATGATGCGAGGGTTCCGAGAAATCCAGTTCGTATCTTGGGTAAACTAGCCGAAGCCCGTACCCAACACGCCGAAACAAAGCTTGCAGAGGCCGGAGCACACCCTCCACGTCTCCCCGCCGGCCAGCTCCAGGCAATTCCAGCTTGAAAGCATCGAACATCATCAAACTCATGGAAAGGGCCGAGTTGTGCTGCGTCGTCGTTCTCGAAGGTTTGCACAGTACTGCTTCTCCAGATCACGCACGATTCCGTGTAAACGATGTGAGGGTCGAGAGCGAAGTCGTAAGCCGTAAGACCCCAAGAGTCTCAGCTTGGCCTCAGAAGCGAAGCTGCGTCAGCTGCAGCGCGAGAGCGCGTGCAAACTCTGCTGCAGCAGCTGCGGCTTAGATGCAGTTGGCTTTTTCTTCACGTCTTTCTTCTGTCCGGTGTCCAAGCTGAACAACAGGGATGAATCGGGGTGATCTTTGACAGCTGGTCATGCCTTGTCGCAATGGGTTGAGGTTCGAGCTCCACGACCTCAAAGCCAATGGCGTTCTAGAGGAGGCAAGATCATGGCGGTGGCGACTAGGGACAATTCTTCCCGGAAGTGTCTTTGGCCAAAGCAGTTACCGCATCAAACGAGCCCGGATCAAACAGGACGAGCTCATCAAGATGAACGAGAAGGCGCCCCTGAAATCCGCCATCCTTCGAAACGAGCTTTAGAGTCAAGTTACGTAATGAGGTCAGAGAACTTTGTCTTGTCGAGGACAACTTAGCCGGTGCCAAATCGCCCTGAAAAAGGAAAAGACTAGCCCATGTCATCAAACTGGAACTTGAACAAATCATGGAAGGCAAAATCATCTGCATGCACTCCGCTAGCAGACGTCAAAACAGAAGAACCATTCACCTCATTCGAGACAGCATTCGTTTGACGAGAACCATCTCGCAAAAGAAGTCTTGCGTCAGAGAAGGCCTCGCAGTTCCGTTCGTCACATCACAGATGCCCTCGAAGGTGTCCTTGCTCCACTATGGCAAGGCAGAGACCAACAAGGAAGCCATCCGGGAGAGCCTCGGCCGTGAAGTCCGCACCGGGGTCGAAGCGGCACACAATGAACCGAGCAGTGACGAGTCCAAGCAGTCCAAGCCGTGGGGACAGATGTCTAGGCATGCCTGGTCATTCAGAATATCTGAACTGCAACAAGCCGGAACTTGTGCTTGAACCGGAACGGAACCGATACAGCAGCATCTTCGGCATGTTTTCCAAGGAAGTACAGAGGAGTCTTCAGAGAGCACCTGGATCCACACGGGCAGCCCGTGCCGTTCAGTGTCTTTCGCGAATACATGCAGGCTTTCGTCGTACGAATGCTTTCAATACAGCGTGAGTGTGAGTGAGCGCGGTGGTCAACAAGGGGTTAGAGGTCAAACATGGGGACTCCCGAGCCGCAGGGGGTGCTGAATGACATCGACACAGACCCAGAAGGCCAGGTGATGATGGTGGAGCAATTCATTGCCGAGGCGCGGGGAGTTGGTTTCTGGAAATGAGAATCATGCACCTGACCAGGGGACCTCAGTTTTGCAAGCATCGGAGCGGCATTGTCGTATGCACATCTCTTGACACGACGGCTGTGCCTGTGGATACATCCGAAGGCTGAGAGCGCCCGGCAAGCCTTCCGGTATCCCTCCCTCATCAGCGCCTCTTGGGACTTAACAGATCGTGTCTATACATGCTGGAACCTGGAGTCTCGAGGTGGTGTAGGGACGTAGCAAGGCCTCACAGTCGTGCGATCACAGGGTTTCGAAACTGTCGGGCATGGTAGATGCCAAAAGCTGAGCAGTTAACGGCCTCTTGGTAGGGTTTGAACCGACGGCGGGTGGCGAGTGTACGGTGCATACTTTTGCTTTTGCAAGCCTGGCACAGCGCGTCCGTTCAAGGAGTCGGACCAGTTCTTTTTCCCGGCAGCTCCAGCCAAAGCCCAAGCTGCCTGGATGCATTGAAAATCGCAGCTCCAAAGCTACGCCGCTTTTCCCTCAGCCTCGGCCGCGTCGGCAGCGGCCCAGGCTCAGACGGAGACCGCCGCACAGCAGCCGCAGCAGCAGCCGTCTCCAAGGCCTGTCCTTTTGAGCGGCTCTCTTTTTCAAAGCGGAATCGCCGTCGCAACGTCAGGCCGACAATGGCGGACCGCGTGGCCATGAATGAGGCCAGGGAGCGTTTCATTTCGCAAAACTCGAAATGGAAATTGAGATTGGGATGATTGGGATTTTGCACGAGCAGTGTGTGCAGCATTCGTGAATATTCGTGGTGCCTCCGCTATGCATCAGCCACCAGAAGTTTCAAGCAGCGCGTGTCCGATTGGTAGTCTTGGCTGGGCGAAACCACAATTTCTGTGAAAAGCCAAGAGAAAGTACTCGTAACAAAGAACCGATCAGAGAGTGAAACAGAGACCGAGCGGAGCATCTAGCAACATGTGTTGGCCCAGACCTTGACCACAGATTTTCACGAATTTCCCAGAAATTCGCAAGGCTTCGCTGATATTCAGACTATCATTAGTCGGTGAAGTTCTGTGATGAAAGCCTCTGAGCACCTGTGTGCTTCAGAGTTTCGGAGTTGGTTCGGTGTCTTTTGTGTTCTGGGCGTGGGAGACCAAGCGAAATGATTGGTGGAAGAACCACATTGGTGAAAACCTAGTGAAGATCCTAAGGAGAACATGACCCCCCACCGGATACCTAGAAGGTTTACTAGAAAATACCACCAGCACATGGTCTTGGCAGTTTCAAGCGAAATCCCTTGGGATTGTTGGGGCCACCACGGAGCGAAAGTCTGCTTTCTTCCGATTCTTTGGTTTTCGGCTACATCATGGCCGGACCCCCAGAAGCTTTTTCCGATTCGAAGCTGCATCGCGGCTTCAAGAATGCGACGATCTGATTTTTGGATATTTTTTTAGGTTGTGCTGAGCGCTCCCTGATGCCTCCACCGTGGTCTGTGCAGTGCGATCCTGAACAGTTGCTGTTAAATGTCTGACTACACCTACATACAGTAACGCCAACTGATGATTGGTTGCCTGACAACCTCAACCTGCTTTGCTTGCGACTTCATGGCACGGTCGCCAGGCTGCGAGGCAGACGCCAGCCAAGCCAGGCTTCACTGTGTAGTTTTCTGCTTCAGAAGCTTTTTGGCCAACAACGCGGTTCTGTTCCGGGATGGTTCTTGCACCGTTTTCAGTTCAGGGCGGTTCCTTCGCAGTTTTGTCCAGTTCAGAAAACCAACCGACGTTGCGCAGCGCACTGTGGGATGGAGTTGGATGGAGAGTTGAGTTTAGACATGCTTTTGTGGAGGTTCGGGTTTGCGGGCGGATCCACGGCAGCTCGCGGTTCACATGCGCACATTCCCAGAAACACTAGTGCGATCCCAGAGACTGCTTGCCTCTAATCCAAAACGAGTCTGCGGAGGCGCAAGCGACCGCCCAACGGGCTATCAACCAGATTCCACGCACCTCGGCTTGTATGGAATCCTGCAATATATAGACTTAGAGTCTGAATCCAAAGACGTGTCCAGCATTGCTGTGGCTGCTGTGGTCTCGAGCAGCCCGACACCTTATTTCACCGATGCTGATACCTGCATGGAATCGCGCGCTCTGTCTTTTCAACATCTCCCTAAAATCCCGAGTAACCAGTGGCGAAGCTGGATCGTAGAATTGTCCATTGAACTTGCGCACGCCTAAGTGACAGAATACAGGCGTGTGTCCATGAAAGGCCGACGACCAGTGCTGGCACCTCCTCGCGTCACGCAGAGGGGAGTCTTAGCTGCAAGGGCTACGACTCACGAGTCATCCGAGTCTGTCATGTTCACAGTTTCGAGCCGATCCTCCTGTGGACCGTCACTTATTGCAACGGCGAGCGAACACGGCATTGTGTAATACTGGCACCTCTGAAATTTTTCAACGGGTCATGATTGTGTGCCTGACCTGTTAGAATTGTCAAGTTGTTTCTGATATGAGGCTTCATGTCCTTGCCAAGAGAAGGTTGAAAGCAGTGGAGCCGCGATGTTTCGCAAGGGAGACTACAGTCTTGACACCGCCGAGGAGCCAGCGGCCAGGGGATGCGAACTCTGCTGTCTCCCGCCCGAACTCCGAGGAAGCCGCACAGGCGAGAGAGGGAGAGAAGATAGGGCAGTAGCAAGCGGAGTGGCATTCATGGGAGGTGGAGGTTTGGGTGTTCTACAGCGGAAAGGATATCCTCCTCACGCAGCAAAGCCTTGAATATGTACGTTCCTTTCTTGGCAGTTTTCCTTTCCAGACTCGGCACCGTCTCTGATGAGGCCACGTCAAGCAGCTCGAGCAAGTCGGCTGCCGTCGCAGTTCCCTTCCAAAAGGGTGCGCAGCTCCAGGTGCAGTTTTGCGTGATTCTCATCTCAATGCATGCAACACTGACTGCCTGATGTGCAATCTGTGTATTGATGGTCGGATGCAGCCGCCGTGAGGGTTGAAAACGGAAGCAAAATAAGAGACCTTGATGCCCTGCGTTGCCGCCAGAACCGCCGCCTGCAGGTCTGGAGCAACTCCAAGAAGAGCTGGCGGGATGGACAGGTGCTCGAGGTCCTTTGATAGCATAGGATGACTGGGTCAGAGTCTTGACTGGCGGCCATCGCCAAACTGGCGACGGGAGGATCTGGGTTGTCCTAGGATGGATCCTTGCCAATTAGGGAGTAGTTCCACGTAGAGAAGAGAGCTCGATCATGTCGGAGCATCGCAGTTTTCTCTGAGCGGGCCGCCAAGGCTTGGAGCCTTGCACAGACTCGCGAGCAGTAGTTGAGAAACGACACCACGACGACCAACTTCACACGGCAACTTAGAAGCCTTGCGTCAGCCTCCTGGCCTTCACCAGGCTTTTCCCACGGCATGCCAAGCCGAAGGCTTCGCGGTTCCAGCTGGCACCGTTAAGGTCCGGCAGGGGGTTTGTTGACAAGATCAAAATAACAAAACTTGGCTGTGATCAATTGCCTCCGGCATCCTTTGCTTGTTTTTCACATCCTTTTCATCACCTAGCCTCAAGCGGGAGAACTGGGCACTCCCGTCATCCTAAACCTCTCGCTGCCTGTAACTGGAGCAGGTGTCATTCGATGCCGGGACCATCAAGCAGCTCGCTGGCACGACGGACGTGTTTGTCATCACAGCAAGCTGGCCCCCCCTGTGTGTTGTATGCATAGTCCTGTAGATGCTATTCGCTTGGTCTGCCTGATGCAACCAACATAGGAATCGCATCCTGCTGCGCATGTGCTGACCATTTCAAGCTCTCCGTTTTGTGACTGGCCTGGCTGTCATGGTGTGGAAACATGTTGATCCAAATACGCTTTCTTGTCCGTCAGAGCCAGCTTTGCGGGCGCAAGGCAAGACCATCAGATCGTGTGCATACGGGACATGCCAGTGTCAGCGCCGACATGTCCTAGGTGGGTCATGCCTGGCCAAGCTGCCGAACTGCTCAGACCGCAACTTGACTGCAGCGAACCGAACCAACCTCGGGATCGCATGCTGCAAGGGCTGAGACCGTCCTCAAACCCGTCCGTACACTTGCACCTCCTCGGACAGCCATTATTGGTCAAGTTGGACATGTAGACCAATGCGGGTTGGTGGTCCAGGCGGCAGGCTAGAGTGGCAGACACATCAGCTAAGTGTCACGGGCACAGGCACACCGTGCGAGCCTGCACTGTTTGGTCAATTTGCCCGTCAGGCATCCGGACAGCTAGCACGAGCAGGCACATCTGAGACCCACCGCCTTCCACGAAAAAGGCGTGCGAGCGTCAGTCAGCAGGCTTGCCATTCACTCGTTCATACATGGACCAAGCACAACGGGCAAGATGACCTGTACACATTTGCAGAGCCAAACAAAACTACAAGCAGCCACGCACAGAATGGCCAGCACACCTGGCTGCCATTTTTCAACGCTTCGCGTCGTCCGCCTCAGCCCGGTCGCGAACGGCCGCAGAGGCAAAAAAAGGAACGGAGAAGCCGTCAACGAGTTCACAGGCAGGAGGGGGTGGGTTGGTGGCACCAACTATAAGGAAACAGGATGCATTCTGTGAGAACTTGGCATAATATGACTGCATGCTGCTGAGCCCGGATGCCCCACCGCCGTCGTGGCAGCAGCACTTCCGTGGCACAAGAGTGGACACGCTGGTATACATGTGTCGGCACCCATTACTTATTGCAAGACGATACAATCGAATGGGAAGCGACATTCTGACCAGGGGACCACACGACTCTGTCTACTGAGTCTGAGAGGCTATTATGGTCTCCACTTATGTAGCAGGCTGTAAACGGCCGACGCGATTTGCACAAGTGAAATCAGAGTAATTTGGTTTGGCACGAGCAGGCTCGCGAAACCTGTCGGCCGGCATCTTGCAGCGCAGTGCACGATACGATGCGATTCGGACGACATAAAGATTTGTATGTATGTATGTATGTCTGTATGTATATATGTATATGTTCTATTTAAAAAATACATATATAAATATGTAGTAGATATATAGATATAGGTATTGAGGACATCAGGTTGTGCCAAGCAAGCAATTAATGCAAACCATGCGGAAGGCGGCAATGGCGCCCCATACAGTGATCTTTCACGAGTGCCACAAGCACCGTGAAGGCGCGGGATACTCTAAGATCTGAGGGAAAATCCTGAAGGTGAAGGATAATTTTTGGGCTTGTGTTTCTTTTGGGCGCTACGCTGCAATACGCCACGGCGGTCTACAACGAAGGTCAACTGCCGTTCTATCAAGCAGACAGTCTTTCTCTGATACCTCGGGTATGAAGTGTCCAGTCTGCACTTCACGTTGCATCGTTCACGGCGGCACATCCACGATGCACACAGCTCGTCGTCCGATCTTTTCGCGCGCTACCTCTCTTCGGCCTTTGGCAGTTTCACTTGGGATGCTTCGTTCACGAGTCTGTTGGCGAACCTTGCAGATACCAGCCCATCGCATCAGACCATTCACGCCCCCT